ACAAACACATAAAAACCACCACTGAATAAGTGGACCAGGTATTATTAGATTAAGGATCAGGGACAAGCTCGGTGGAACGGCATCACTGTCTGAAGGCAGCATCGCTGGTCAACAGAACCAAGACTTGGACCTGGATCTCAGCATCCAAATCTACGTTTCCTGTATTTCTCTCTCCAGTTGCCTGGACATGGAGGGCTATTACAAAGTTCCATTCTTTTTTAAAAATTGTTTTCCAATGGGCTTTGACCTGGTGCCTACAGATTTCGTATCATGTTTAGAAAAGATTCATCCCCTCAAAACCATTTATTCTTTCTTAATTGTATATTTAAGCTACAGCTAGAGGAATTTCAAATAGGTAGACATGGGACAAAATTTTGAAGAGGAAGAGGACTTAAGTACTAAAATTACTTAGAAAAGTTTATGCAACCTCTCTTCTTAAGAGCATCCCATAAGAAGCAATGGGATAGGTGAGGACATTACAGCAGAGCTAGGTGTAACATCCTTTTAAGCAACGGATAAATTCTCATCTGGGTAGGATGGCTTATATATGACAAGGGCGGACTCTGTCCTTTAAGAATCCTTCTGGTCTAATGATGGAATGGCATCTGGAGAATCTGGGCTTTCCTTATCCACTGAATAAATGGATTAGTTGCTCCACAGAACAAAGCAATGTTAATTCTGCTGGTGAGTCCTGCATCATGCAACCTGACATCTGTGGCTTGACCGAGGCCTCATTCTCTCAATGCTCACTTGAAATTTCAACTACAGTGGTTCTGTTTGGTCATCTTTGAGGTTAGCTAGACACCACTGAAGTTCTGGATAAAATAGTCACCCACTCCCCTGAGCCGGAAGAAATGGGGACAGAAAGCTTAGGACAGATCACCTGTAGTTCTGCTGCAAATTAAAACAGAATCCTGCCTGTTACCTGTGTGCAGAACCCCGAGGCAAAAATGGCCCATGAAAATGATCCGTAGATGTAAGGTGAGCGGTCTCAGAGGCTACACTCTTCAATTATGAATTAGCCCATAAAACTTGGAAAAACCATATTCTCACCTTAAAAAATATAGACGAGAGGCAAGGAATTGTAAGCAATTAAAAAAAAAATTCCAGGAAGAGATTTAAGAGAGAAATGTTAAAGACAATGGAGTAATTTCTGAACAAGAAGGAAGGCACGTATGTAGATGCCAAAGAGGGACATCTAACCCCCCAGCTGTACTCACACACAGAGGCACACACAGCAGCCCAAGACATGCCTCTGTGTTCACGTAAACTACATATAAAGAAGTCCTTCTCCAACCCTCCTCTCAGGAAGCAATGGGTTTTTCTGGCATGAATAATTAACTTATTAGGTTAACCAGGAAAAGCACATCCGTGAGACTGAACTGCACCGACCACTGTGGGCAGGCATTTCTCCGGGCCTCTAGCCCGCCCCTCCAGGGAAGGTCAGACACTGACTGACTTCTATCCAGATTGGGTTGATGTGTGCATATAAGCTGTAATAAAGTGCCTCCTTATGATGTTTTGCAGGTTAAAAAAATTCTTACATAGAAATGACTTTACTAAAATGTCAGGCTGTGCAGGACCTTATGTGTCCTCTCACATACACCTATCTGCAAAAGCGCTGCAGCTCTCTGCCAATGCTGACTCTGCTGCACAAAAAGCTTTGCAATGTAATAGTGGTTTCTAGGAGTCAGGAATTGGAGATTTATGCTATGTTTGAGATGGTTTATTAATTAAGGGCCCTGAGTCATCATGCAAAAAATGGGGACATTAAGGAGAAGGTTATTCCTATTTGCTCAGCAAAATGAATTGAGCAACTATTATTGGCTCACAGTGGCACACGCTCTGCAAAGGTGTTCAGGATGCACATACTGGGTGGGAAATCCTCTTGAACTGGACGGCAGTAAGGTGTGTATGTGATCACAGAAGTGGGTACTAACTGGCTACCTGAGGGGCCTATGGAAGCCCGAGGAGGCAGAATGGCTGGCTAACGCGGTGGGTGCAAAAGTCTGGGCACTCAACCAGGTCAGGTGAGGACGTTACAGCAGAGCTGTGGATATGCAAGCACGTGGTGGGGTTTCTAGCTTTAAAATGTGTATTCTTTAACCTCGTACTAACACTGGCAATACCACTGGTTACCAGGACTAGACTAGGGAATCTCTGGTCACCACACAAACTGGCACTGCCTACAGCCAAGATCAGAACTCCGGCAAAAGAGTGACCCAGTTGGCGAAAGTGTATTAAAGTTAGAAGTATCTTCGCCTCTCCTATGCTTACCACAAATCATTTTACTGTGTGATTCACTTCAAAACTAGAAAGTGAAACAGCTACTTAAAAAAATAAATAAATAAAACCTCTCCCTAACTTCCCAAACCCTACAGAAAACACTTCTTTGTTTTTTTAGGAAGCAACACTTTAGAGCAATTAATAAACTTTTTAATTGTAGAAAGTTGGTGTGTATGGCTTCTCTTAATGACATTCGACTAGAACAATCCTATGCAATTACCAACCTACATTAATGCAGCTCTCATGGGGCGCCACAAAAAACCCTGCACAATCGTCAACAGGGAGACTGGAGGACAGGGTGGGCAGGAACACAGCCCAGGGAGAAACACAGTGGAGCTTAATCACTGTAATTTGGGTTTTGTCACCAAGTCCCAGGTACAAGCGCTTTCATGCACTGTCAAGGGACCTCCCCGTTAATTGCGGCTCCTGTCTTCCGAGGACCACACACTCTAATTTGCAGTGATTCTGGTTCCTCCAGCGATGTGCATTTGGTGGCTACATCCCCCTTTCCTCCAGAAAAGGCAGGCTGCTGAGGCTCTGATCATCCAGCTCGCCCTGCCACCTTCAACAGACTGAAGTCACACAGCATCCTGTTTACCAGAGTTGAGAAACGACTGTGACTCCACCCACAGTGGATGGGAGGCCCTGCCACCATCCCTGCAAGGCTACATTCTTCTCTTCTCCAGTAAGTTTGACTTTCAACACAAGAGTTATTTCTACAGGATGATTTAAATAATTTCTGCACGGTCAGTCTAAAGCAGAAAACGTGGGTCATCCTCAGAGGTGGTCAGGCTGTCCCGGTCAGCACATTCAGAACATGCAGTCCCAGGTGCCTGCTTTTCAGGGGGCTCTGTAGAGCCCCTGGGATCCGCCGATTGGTCAGATGGCGCGGCCGATGTTCTGTGCTTTGGCTTCGGAGGCTCAGCCCTTTCCAAGCCTACTCCATGCCCACGCCGCACTAGGCAAGACCTCATGACTGATTTTCTTCCACCATCAAATCAGAGCAGAGACAGAGCCCCAGATGGAATATCATTCTTAAAAAGGACACCCTCCTTTCAAAACAAAGAACCGGAAACCAAAGAAACAAGAGTCGATCTAAACCGAGAAACTATTCTCAACTCAAAAACGTTCCAAGTCAATGCAGCACAGGCTACAGTTAATGGGATGATGGCACGTGTCAAAACACAGCAACTGAATGCCTAACTCTGTGCCCCAGGATTCTATATATTACTACGGTATTTGATGCCTAGCTTTCTGTTCTACTTTTCCAAACACTTCCTTAACCCACTCGACGCACCGACATTCAATTCCCTGGACTGTGGGAAGGTAACTGCGTGCCTGGCACTCCACACTGAGACTGCTTTGCCAATTCCTTTTTGTGTGGGGCCATGTGTTTCTAGACCTACCACAATAAACAGAAACAAGCATGTGAGATGCTGGGCCCGCCTGGAATTTACTAGATGGGAAGCTCAAGAATCTTATCAGTAACAATATAGAGACAATGAGAGAACTGAATATTTAACTGATCAAGTTAAACAAATCCAAATTAAGTGGAGGTTATCTGGAGTTTCCTGACAGACTTGTGCTTGGAATCCCATTTGAAAAGTAAAACTAAATTCAGCTTCTTTGCTATTTTTTCTTTAGGGCATAATAATAAAAGAGGCCCAGGCAAGGTTAGATGCTGTCCTATAAGCTGATCAATGACTGACAACAGTAACAGGTAAAGGAGAAACTACCACAAAGATTACCAGCCCCGTAAAGAGACCAATGGAGCGTTTCCTCCCTGAAAGCAAAAATCCTTCCATACTTTGGATTTTAGGCTCAAATCTAAAGGAAGAAATAAAAATTGGTATTAATTTTGCCTACCTAAGAATACAGGGGAATATGTACTTATTTTGAAAGGTAGATGGTATGTCTAATTTTAGCTACACTTTTCTGATGTATATCCCCACCCTCAACCACATAACTATCAGGAGCCAATTAACGGAAAAAAATTATCATGTAAACATGGGGTTAAGTGATCTTCTCTGGGAGACAGGCAATGAAAAGGGTGTGGTCAGCATCGTAAATAATGCCCATGTTAGGCCTTTTTAAAAATACGGTCAAGATTTTCTTTTAATATCTTCAAAAGACTGTTCTAGTCTACTTTCTCTATCACTAGCTGAAAGCCCAAATTACAAAATTCTTCTAATTCTGGTACAAAGGAAATTTTTCATAAAATCAAAGACAACTTTACAAAGACTGAATCTGTAAACTTTCTCACAGCTTAAACTAATGCGTTAGGCCCTGGTCAGTGTGTTCAGTGGTTAGAAAGTGGGCCCTGCAGACCGAAGGGTCGTACGTTCGATTCCCAGTCAAGCGCACGTACCTGGGTGTAGGTTCAACCCCTGGTTGGGGAGGTACCCCGATTGATGTGCCTCTCTCACATCAGTGTGTTTCTCTCTCTCTTCCTCCTTCCTTCCAATCTCTCTAAAAATCATCCTCAGTGAAAACTAACTGCCTAACCCCAAATAATAATGATGATGATAATAATAATATTGTGGTAGAATTGTAGGGAGAGTATTTTGGTGCCAATTAAAAGGCACTAAATATGTAATAATAACTGCCATTGCATGGAACACCCCTCTATACACTATAGAGCCAAGTGAAGTAGGACAAGGCTGGGCACTCGATTCAGGATGGGCAGGGAACGGGACACAGGAAAGGGCAGTTACCTCGTGTGGGAAGCGGCGTCGTTGATGCTGAAAGTGCTGCTCTCCCGGGTCAGAGGGCTGGAGCCGGCCTGGCTCTTGCTGTGGATGTCCAGGCTCAGGGAGGACTCTGCTTTCCGGTCCAGGCCGTGGCTCTCAGCCTCTAATGTCCGATCCACCATGGAGATGACCTCGCTGGAGCTGTGCCACAGGGGGGCCACTTTCTCCTTGCCGGGCCCCGAGCGAGGCGAGGCCGTGGCGGCCCCCAGGGAGGCGCTGCTACCATGGCTGGGGCCGTAGGAGGTGGTGTCGATGCCGCTGTCGGCAGAGGTGCCCTGCAGATAGTTGTAGCTGTTGAGCTCAGACTCAGTGCGGTCCCCGTCATACCACTTCTCGTCACTGTGGGCGCTGGACGCGTTGCTGGACAGGGTGTTGCTGCTGGAGTGGCTCGAGTAGTGGCTGTCAGGCTGCAGGGGAAGCAGAGTTACTCACGGGCAGGCTCTGCCTCGTGAACACCAGGAAAACAACAGGGAGAATGGCCCGTGGCGTGTCTAGTGATGGGTCCAAGGCCAAAGGTTCTAATGGTGGGAAACCGAGGTCTGGCTTGGAGGTGCCTGGACAAACTCAGGCGAAGGCTCGATGGCAGAGAGCGCTGAAAATGGTTTCTTAAGAACCCATTTTTCATTATTTCACTTAGGCCAAAACATGAGATCATTTTAATCAGAAAAAAATCTAAATTGTTATTAGTCTTCAATATTTTAATCCTAAAATAGAAAAAAATGACACCTCCAAAAGGCTTTAAAATTAGAAGAGACCTACTGTGCTCAGAGTAAAGAGAAGGCAGAACCTAAGACTTATTCCTACAGAGAGCTCCCCAGTGCGCATCTATTTAGAAGACAGCTTTCTGAGGAGGGCTCAGAGGTATGATGTACACGAAGGTGCCAAGTGAATTCAATGGGGGAGGGTGGGAAGGGAGAGTAACAGTCTTTTCAACAGACGGTGCTGGGACACGTGGGTATCCACAAAGAATTAAATTGGATCCTTTCCACATAGAAAAATAAACTCAAAAAGATCAAAGATGTAAACGTAAGAGCTAACACTGTAAAACTCTTAGAAGAAAACATAAATGTACATCTTCATGACCTTGGATTATGCAATGTTCTCCTAGAGATGACCCCAAAAGCACACAAAAAAGAAAAAAAATTGATAAACTGGACCTCATCAAAATTAAAAAACTTTTATGTTTCAAATACCCTAATTAAAACATGGGCAAAGGATTTAAATGGGCATTTCTCGAAAGAAGATATACAAATGGCCAACAAGCACATGAAAATATACTCAGCATCTTTAGTCACTAGGGAAATGCAAATCAAAACCACATGAGATACACCTCACACACAGTGAGATGCTATACACAAAGGGGCAGACAAGAATGCTGGCTGGACTGCTGGTGGGAATGGGAACTGGGGCCGCTGATGTCCAACAGCTCAGTCCCATTCTCAGCGTCGACTCAAATAAATAAGATTTCCAAGGATAGCTGAATAAAACAGTATTTTAAGAGAAAAGTGGAGAGAAGGAATTGTGTGTGTGTGTGTGTGTGTGTGTGTTTGCTGAGGATAGCGGCAGGAGGAGGACACTCAAGTTTCATTTTAAAGTGCAAAAATAAAGCTCTCTCCTTCTTAAACAAGAATCAATCCCAGTTATTTTACCAGTGCTACTCTAGTTTTTCGCAACAACGTTTGTGTTACAGACCTTCATTCATTTTTAGTATCTGAGGGCAGAATTTCTCAGCCCTGCATTGTCTGTGGAATTGGCAGCCCTCAGCCACGTGTGGCCACTGTGCACCTTACACGTGGCAGCCTGCACTGAGATGGGCTGAGAGTGAAAAGTACGTAACATATTTCTGCAGAAACAGTACGTGAACCACACTGGAATTTTAAGTTTTCTAGTGGTCAATATTTAAAAAGTACAAAGAAACAGGTGAAATTAAGTTTCGTATGTTTTCTCTAACCCAACCTATCCCAAATATTATTTTACCATGTAATCAATATACCGATTAGTAATGAAGGTGGGGAAATGGACAGATTGACTGGGGCAATCGCCCATTTATAAGCAGAACTGTGACAACATCCCGTCTCGTCAGTGTATCTCCCCACACAGCCTGTGTGGGTGCTTGCACACATGTGCTCCCCTCTTGTGTTTTTAGCTCCCATATTCATTTCATTAGAGCAAAACTGGGAGGAGCCCTCTCATCTCTGAGCATCTTGTAAGTTAGTGAATATGAGACAGTCTTTCCTCACCCTATTGAATGACATAAATATAAACACACATTTCAGTGAGCAGACAGACCAAAGAGACCAACTGCACTGAAAGGGGGAGGAAACGATGACCTCCATTCCCCATTCTACCGGTAAGTGATAAGGAACTGTGTGCCACGATGGTGAAGGACAAAAATGTGTGCAGCTCTGAAAGATAAGAGAAGCAGTAGGCTGTGAGGAAGTTGTCTGTTCAACCACACCTCATGCTTGCAATTGTGTAAACAAGTAAAGTCCATTTCTCACACACTTCAATTCATAACATTTTAGGACTGTTTGTGATGGGGTCACCTGGCCTTTCACCCAGATGATGGGGTGGCAGGTGCATACCAAAAAGGAATTTCAATTTATCTCAAAGCACCCTTGTTGGCAGCAGAAAGCCCAGGGCCAGGACAGCAAAGGCCCCCTTCTGCCAGGATGGCTTCCTCTTTGACCACGTGGGAGGAAGAACAGAGCAGACCTGTACCATTTTCACAGCCATCACAAGGAAGGTGCATTGGTAGGCACCTACCACTCCTATTATTTTACAGTGAACTTACATGCCCCTGTTTGTTCGGAGACAAGTGAACCACTGGATCCTGCCGCATCAGCCTCCCACTGGGGCTCTCTCGGAACGTGGGCAGGACCTTCGATACTGCTGGGAGGTGGCATGTCGGCTCTGCAACACAGCACAGGGCATTATGGTGCAGGCCGAAGCAGACCCAAACACATGTCGACAAATGAAGACAGCTTGCCACGGCACCTCTGAGCTCACTGACCAGCAAGCTCTGAATTTCAGCAATAAGCTTGTTGAGAGTTTACACAATAGACAGCATGTCAGAAACTAAGTGGCTAATGGGTAAAGCTTGCAGCTGGTGACCACATGAGCAGAGCCAAGTACCACCAAACCAAAGGCCATGAACAACGCGGCAAAGTTAGAAATCAACTTTTGGTTTGGGGAACAGTCTAAAATACATGGATTGAATTTATGAGATTCATTCACTGCAAAGTGTAGCTAACCTAGCTTGGTCTACATTACCTAGACAGGCATGGATGCAATCACGTGTTACTTACCATGACACCTTGGAAATATTTTACCTGTATATTCATGCTGCTCGAGGAAAAAAGAATTGAAATCCTGAGGTCCTCTATAACTGTAAGCTAAGCACAACAGAAAAGACACACAGCAACTAGTTTACTTAAAACAATTGCTTCCTTTTGGAGTCCACGCTGGCGTTCATGATGGGGTTCCAAAGGTGCAAGGTAAGTGATTTTACTTCTTTCACACACTGCTAGCTAACAGCAACCATTCTGGACTTCGGCAACACCATTCCTAACACATAATGGACTCGGCAACATACCCTTTTGCTTTGATTCTCAACCATTTCCAAAAGCAGAGGCACAGAAAAATGACCAGCCACGGAGATAAGTGAGTTCATTAAGCAAGCTACACTCCTCGCCTCCACTGGGGCACCAGTTCATAGCACACTGATGCACAAAGATGGGGGGTAGGGGTTGGGTCTGGCTTACAAGTAAGACTCTCCTCAACATTGTCAATGAGTGACCTGAAAACCATTAGAGAATTCTGTTCTTACGAACTGAGTAAGACCTTTACACACTCAATACAGTGCAATGAGTAACAAGACATAATTATTTTTGTCAATTTCTCCCTAGCATGGCATAACTAAGCCCCCGAGTTTCCTTCTGAGTTCCCATGAGAAAAGGCTGGGTTAGTCCTCTGGAATGTAAAAACGTACACAAATTTATTTTATTTTAATATTTTATTTCAAGCCTTAGATTTTGAATAGAGAAAGGCCCCACTTGGTGAAAAGGCTCTTCTGGCAGGCTCTAGGGCAGTGATGGCGAACCTATGACACGCGTGTCAGAGGTGACACGTGAACTCATTTTTTTTGGTTGATTTTTCTTTGTTAAATGGTATTTAAATATATAAAATAAATATCAAAAATATAAATCTTTGTTTTAGTATGGCTGAAAATATCAAAAAATTTCTATATGTGACAGGGCACCAGAGTTAAGTTAGGGTTTTTCAAAATGCTGACACGCCGAGTTCAAAAGGTTCGCCATCACTGCTCTAGGGGTATCTTGCAAAAAAAAAGGTATATCTTACTAAAAAGATGAACAAGTGAGTTAAAAGGATTCATCCATATTAATTTCAGAGTCTTATCTATTAAAAGTGGGATGCCACTAAACTAAAGGGGATGCGAGAACAAAAAGACTAGAGGGAGGTTTCTGTGCAAGAATGAATACGGTCTAGGATGAACCTTATAATTACCCTCCCCTTCCTCACATGGCTTCCCATGAGTAGGAAGTGACACTGAATGCTGCACAAAGGGCTTGCTGGCAGCTCTGTTCAGAGCGTGCACCAGGAGCCAGAAAAAGCTGCTGAAGTCATGATGAAGAAGGGATCCTTTGCGCACGTGTCGTTACCAGCTCCACAGTATCAAAACATATGGGCTTAAACACATTCTGCTAAGAGCAGAGCAGAATACGCTCAGGTTTTCTGTGTGGTGGGTGGGTGGGATGAGAGGGGGAGGGACAGATGGCTTCAATAACCAGGCACATTGCACTGAAGTTATTGCAACAAAGCATATCTTTAGAACCTAGGAATTATATTTCTTTTCCCCAACGTGTGTCTTAGCTCAATACATCTCCACTTCCTTCTATGTTCGTGGTTAGTGCCTTTACACAGGCACGGTCATTAAAACAGAATGAGACAGATAATGCATTTGCTGGGAGGATAAAAAGGTGGGGTTCTGTCTTAAAACGTATCTTTTTTTCAGACCTGCAATGTATTTGTTTTGAATCTCACACCCCTGGTAATGCTACTAAAAATAAGATAAAGGAAAAAAATACCTGTCTTGATTCAAGACCCTGATGTATCAGCTGTGTTGATATTAAAAATCTATACTATTGTGTTGAAACTTAATCATGTTTCATAGCAAAATTTTATTGTATCAACTCATGTAATGGTGTCATTGCAGCAACTACAAGTAAATACAGAGAAATTATATGTATTAGGGACCCAAATGAAGGCTCTCCTGCAAATCTTCCCCATCCAGCTCTTTGTCCTGCTAAGACATGTCCTTAGCTGGCAGCCTAATAGCAGAGGAGGGGAAAAAGCATATAGGGGAGGAAAGAGATACTAACCACGCTACACATGTGACTAAGCAACAATTGTATCTCTTTCCCACTCTGTACACAGTTTTTAAATTTTTATTTATTTATTTTAAACTCTTTGTAAGAATACCAACAAATCTTTTAGGGCACTTGTAAGAGGCAAAAACACAGATGAAAGGGGAGGGAGATATTTAGGACATGTGGTTTGGCAGTCTGGCAATTTAATTTGGGTTCTGAAAAAAAAATTCCTATGTCATTTCGATTTTTAGATTTAGGGTCACTTAGAATTCCTTGACTTTTCTCTTAGGTCTTATTTGTTGCTTTCACTTATACATAATCTAATCAAGACTTAACTCTCATTCACATTTATTAACCAGGGCTGTTCATCTAACCAAGACTTAATTCTCATTCACATTTATTAACCAGGGCTATATTATATAACAGAATGCTTTGATGACATCATCAGGAGGAAGCCCAAGTCACCTTGGTGTAAAAGCAACTAGCTTTTTGTAGAAATTTAATTACTTACCCATCTGGTCGGCAATGCTATCCTCACTTCTTTGCCAGCTGGGTGTGGATTTTCCGCTGCCACCAAGATCTGCCTGGGTGTTCTGCCTGTCAATGGAGGCTGGGGATCTGCGGCTGACTCCAAACCTGTGGTGATTTCCCCAAACAAAGGCAAAGAGGACATCAGAAACCTCACCCATAAAGGGAAGGAGTCCTGGGTGTAGTGAACCTCACTGTAAGGACAGGTACTACTAGTTTCGCTTGCCTGTCTGTACTTGTGCATGTGAATGTGGATGCCGGAACTGTGTTTGCCGTAGTCAGTTCAGAAAGGTATGTAGGCTAAGCATTTAAACTGTAAACAAGGCCAGGAGCCATCAGGACGGAGCTAACTTAAGATAAACAGAGTAAGAAAGCAAACCAAACGGAGCTAACTTAAGATAAACAGAGTAAGAAACCAAACCAAAGTCTTCTAGCCCTTGTGTAGCCAACCACACAGGCTGTTATTCACACACAGCCAAAGGGAAATTTTCACCATCCCAATGTTCCATGTGTATCTTGAGATGGGTACATGTCAGGGGTTTCTCGTAACGCAGTAAACTGCTAAATCACTAAGTAACTAAATCTGCTAAATCAGTCATTCTGGGAACTAGTATTTTCTGAGCACTCTAAGGTCTGAAAGACAAAGACTGCTATCATTTATATAGAGACCACTTTCAAAATAAACTGCCTTTGGGAAGGGCTACTTACAAGTAGGTAAAGTGGCTTTTGTAAAGGCAATTGTCTATTTCTGGAAAGACTCTTTAGCTATTCAATCAGCCAGTTTTATTTTTCCCAGTGTAGAGCAAACATCTAATACATGATTAAAGCATGTACCTTGATGAGCACTATCAGCAGCGTAAATCCTGCCTGAGCCCAGGAGAAAGGACCAGAGTGTAAAATTCAAACGTTCATGTGGAAATTTACAAATTTGTGTATGGTTAACTAATGAACTTATACAATGAAAGACTATACAGGGCCTGATGGATTGATGCATATGACAGATGTCTTGTTTACTACAAACTGATAGATGCCTGGGGAGAAACACCACGTGGTGCTGGTGGAGTCAAGTTCTGGCTTTCCCACTCCAAGTTACTTAAGTGTCAGCTTCATTTATTTATTTGAAAAAAAAAGAAGAAGAAGAAAAAAAGTCAATTCCATTATATGGATCCAGGGAGGAAAAGCTCGATGAAAGCATTTGCAAAGTAAAGAAAGCTACAACATATTTTCGTAAAACTCCTCCAATACCATCTCCCTAGTTGCTTTTGCATAAATGACAATTGTTTACAGACTCAATCACAAGCCTCACTAAACAAAGTTACCTCTATTGTAAAAACCAAAACCCTTGATTTAGGAAAAACTAAATAACTGTGCATTTACAAAAAAAAAAAAAAAGCATTCATTAATTATGATCTTTGCCCTCTCCTCCCTAAGTAGGGTGCTTCTTTACAGTGAAGATCCTCGAAATGGCCCTATGATCCTATTCTAAATTTGCACTAAATTACGACTTTTTCACAAAGGCACAGAGACTGCGATTTTGTTTTCACCTTTTTGGTAGCAGAGGCAACTAAGGACCTTTTAAACCTCTGAATTTAAAGCCGAGTGTTTTTCTGGCTATCTGGTTTCAAATAACGTAAGGCTGTCTTTAAATTCTGCCTTTAAAATATTTTCATCCCACGGACTTTTAATTTCAGTTCTCATACATACTCATTGCGTGCAGGGCATTAGGGACACAAGGACCCTACTCTTGAGGAGCTCAGACAAACCTGTTCAAGTTGTGCCTCTTTTCGAAGCTTTACTCTACTTCTGTTTGGAGGAACACTGAACGTTGAAGGCTCAGATTTGGAGGAGTTTTTAGTAATCACCAGGCTGATACATGAAGCATGTTCAGTGACCAGGAGCCTGTCCACTGCTCTCCAGAGCAGGCTCACGGCTTTGAATAGCTCCCTCATAAAGGCCTGGAAACTTCTCTGTAACTTTCATTTATTGGTCTCTGTCGCCCTCACAGACAAGTGCAACCCTTCACCTAAGATTGCCTCCTCGCCTCCACAATTCTGACCTTCAGGTTGTACATCCCTAGTTATGTTTCTCACACCGGTCTCCAAATTCCTCATTTACCCCTCCCTCCCTCCCTCTGGACATGCCCTGCCCTGTTAACATTCCTCAAAGTGTGTGGCCCCAAAACAAGTCCCCAAGGTTGGCAGAGCAGACCCCACGTCTCCTCCCGAGAGTTGCTTTGTGACGGCCTCTCATTCCCACCTTAAATGTGTGCAGGCGCCTGTTGTCCGCCCACTCGAGTGGAGCAGGCAGGGTTAACCAGTTAATTAAATTTCACCGCTCAGCGGATTTGGATGGTCTCAATATCCTCACCCAAGGGAGTGGCAGACACATCACACACATGCAGACACCAGGTCCTGAATCCGGGGCAGGAGAGGACAACGAAGGAGCAGGCTACATTTACGGGCAATGACTGCACACACTGACCAACTATCATGATCGCACGCTTTAAGCTTTTAAGAGTTTGTTAATGAGCTGGATCAGACCACATACACTCCTGTGATCCTTTTCCTCTCGGGACAGGCAACTTTTGGGATTATACATGTGAATTAGACAGGGAACCAATTGCTCTTGCATCACTGATACAGGCAAACGCTGTTTGGGATCCAGCAGAAACACTGAATCATAGGGGTTCAGACTGAGTAACCCCAAGAAGTAACTCTGTGGAATGTGGATTATTTTTGAGCTAAAGGCAACTGAGATCCTTTGGGCTCAAGAGAAACTTCGGCCCTCTCCTTAACTACCTAGAAGAACTTAAATTAGGGGCTTTGCCCACAGGAGATTATCACTGACAACTTTTTCTCACCTATCCTCAGGGCAGGGCAGACTAACTGAACATCTGCTCTTATTGTCTTGTGATGACCTTCCTCCCTCTGAAGCCCCAAGGTGCCTGACCTTATTCTTAGCTCTGAAGGTCAGATATACCTCATTTTCTCTCTGTTTCGAACCTCGCATGTATGTGGGTTCCCATATGCATGTATGTAATTGAATTTGGTTATTTCCTCATTTTGATCTATCTCATGTAGATTTAATTTTTAAGCCAATGAAGGAACCCTGAAGGGTAAAAGAAAGTTTCTTCTTCCCCCATAGTATCAGCCTCATCTTGCAAAGTATCCACCTTAGAAAGGACATCAGCCCTAGCGGGTTTTGCTCAGTAGATAGAGCATCGGCCTACGAACTGAAGGGTCCTAGGTTTGATTCCAGTCAAGGGCACATGCCCAGGCTGTCGGCTCGATCCCCAGTAGGGGGCATGCAGGATGCAGCCAATCAGTGATTCTCATCATTGATGTTTCTATCTCTCCCTGTCCTTTCCTCTCTGAAATAAAAACATATGTAAAAAAAAAAAAAAAAAAGGACATCATACAGTATAGTAAATAGTCATGGGATAAGTTCACAAACAACGGGCAAAACCCTAAATACCACCGATGGCAGAGTTAGTATAAACATCAAGTTACATAACTACCACCTCCTTAAAAAAACTGTGCAGCTTGGGGCACTGAAATCATGGTTCTAACATAAAGATTCACCAAAACGTGAACGTTTCAGCTCACGTTTTTGGTTCATTAAAAGTGTATCATAGAAGAAAATAATGCTTTTTTTGTTACTGTTGTTAGTTCATTTCTATTTTACTAGAGGCATGGTGCATGAAATTTGTGCAAGGGCAGGGTCCCTAGGCCTGGCCAGTGATCAGGGCCGATTGGGGCCTTCCAGCTGCCAGCCAGGGCCTTCCTTCCCTGGCTGCCAGCTGCCGGCTGCTGGCCAGGGCCTTCCTTCGCTCTGCACCACCCTGTGGTGGTCAGTGCACGTCAAAGCGAGTGATTGAACGCCCAGTCTTCCGGCTGAACTCCTGAGGGGACACTTTGCATATTAGCCTTTATATATATAGATAGATTGTTGTACCAACACTGAGGTTGCAGTGAATTCTTATTTTTGAAGTCAAACAAGGCCATTTAAAATCTACTAATTAAAACAAGAAATAATTAGTTGGGCTTGTGGTTTGGCATAATAATACTTAATTCATAAAACCTTTTGCAGAAACTCATGAAAAAGAGCTAAAATTTTTTCTAGTTGTCACTGAAGTAATTAAAATAAGACATGCACATTTTAGAGATACTACCAAGGGAATCCTGGGGGAGACACTGAGGATGGGGGGGGAGAGCATATTTTATAGTGGTTTTATTACCTAATTTCTGCTAACATAAACATTTTGCAACAACAAAGAAATCAAACTTAATAGCTGTAAAAACCGAAAAAGCACTATAGATAAAAATACACACTATAAAGGTATTCTTAGTAATAAACATGATTATTGTGTAACATAGTAAAATCTCAAGAAAATAAACAAATCATGTGTGCACTTGTTAAAGTGGGGAAAACTCGGAACAGAAACATCAGTTTTTATCAGCTCCTTATATTTGATCTTAAAATGGTCCCAGGTTCTTTGTCAGGTTCTCACGGGGAGGATGCCCTAGCGGAAGCCACTGCTGCTCCCTCACTGTTCCTCTGGGCAAGGCCTAAAGCTTCTGTGCACCATGTAATGCTTTGCTGCTAATTCTTCCAGGCTTCAGACATTCCCATTATTTTCTCCTTTTTAGTAGCCTCTGAAATCATGTACATTTAGCTTTTTACTTTGTAAGTCTTTTCAGAAGCAAATAGTTACTTTTGGGTGTTTAGTGTTCAAAACAAACACCACGAAAAACATATACCAATCCACAGGCTGAAATCACAGAAGACTTTTAAAGTGTGAAAAAAATAATTTTAAGCTTTAGATCCATGATCATTTCTCCAACTGTAACAGCAAAACAAACTCCAACTAGTTCAAGCAGGATACTGCTGAGTTCACTTTGGAGGACTTATTAAGAAATGACAAAACTGTACTATGAAAATAGGCAACATATATCATGGAGAAGCTGGTGTAATCTGATTTCTCTGTCACTGAGTCCTTAGAGACCAGAGAATGATATACAGCCCAAGGAGTGGTTTGAACCAGCAATGAAAATATTTTTCCATCTGAAATTATTTAACCATATTTCCCCTTTTGATCTTCTGTAGTAAATTGATCAAGGCTGGCTGAATGGAAATCATTTTACACCTCTGAATGACAGATGAAAGACAGCAATGTCAACTAGGACCGTGCACATTGGGGCACACCTACCCTTCAGGCATGGATTTCTGCCTGTACGTGCCCCCGCCAGAGCCAGTCTCGCTGGACGAAGACAGGTTGCTGGGGGAGTTACGGCACTGCTGGGATCTCGCTAAAGCCATGGACGAGACCGTCACGTAGATGTCCGAACCAGGAGACAGCCTGCACATACAAACCAAAAATATGAAGTCAACAATTCAAAGGGAAGAGTCCCAAGGCAGGCATGATGGATAATATCATATAAATGCGACAGAGGCAGTGGCTTCATGGAAATGGTGAAAATGAAGCCAGCTGGAAACCTACACAAGAACCGTCCCCATGCAACTACTCCCTCAGGGAACCACTGGAAAACTGCCTTGAAGGGGGCAGAAAAAAAAATAACAGGGAAAAACATGTATGTTTCCAAAAGCTGCCAGAATTCAATAGGCTGAGTTGCGCAGGCGGTTTCCTAGTATGGCAGCGTAGAGCATAACTGAACCCCAAGTGACATTAACACAACAATTAATTCCTCTTTCACACTGGTTCTCCCAGAGTACATGGCCAGGGGGAGACTGGTACATTCTTTGTATGCTCCTTTGTTTTCTAATTTTATTACTCAGAGTCTGAAATGAATATTCAGATTCTGCTACTTAGTATTTATGAATTTGGTTGATAGCAGCATCACCATATAAAAACCTCTATGACAAAAAGTGCCTAGAACTGCAGTTGCTGAAATTTAACTAAATTTAATTAATGAATCTCGCCTCATACATCTATTTCCAAAGCTATGGGGCCTTTGCCCTGCTGATGGCTCAAGGGACAGAAACTGGAGCTCTGTAGTCAGGACAGATGCTCTACTCCAGTAGCTCTAGTAGGAACGTGGTAAGCACCGGAATATCAACGTGACGCTGACAATGTGCCCAGGTGAGAACTAAACCTTAATCACACGGAAGGTGGCACACATCATTCGACTCCTGTCGCAGGTCACTTCCAGTTTATCACTGAGGAAGTGGAATCAAAGCCATTCATTCAATAAGCCCGGCCTCTTGATTCTAAGTCGGCCACACTCTGTGCTAAGCTACTGCTGCCCTCCAGGAAGGCTG